ATATTTTTGATGAATTCCGAGAGCTCTCTGACCTTGAACACGATCAAGGTCCAGAAACGTAGTAAGGATATCGTTAAAATAATCCATGTGACATCAGGGGTTCAACCGTAATTTTACGAAGCTACGAGCATACTTTTTGTGCGCAAAGAAAACAAAAATAACGACTTTATTCAACAATTCGTCTCCTCCGAGTCACCATGGCGCTATTTTGGAGAGGATCACATACATAAACAACGTATTCTGTTCTGTGTCAGCAGCACCGTATGCGGATACGTTGTTTATGTTGTTTACGCTGTTTACGCTTTGATCTGAATGTAAACAACGTATCCGCATTCATACGTTGCATACGTTGTTTACGCATGTGATACTCTCCAAAATGTTGCCAGGGTGACACGGAGGAGACGAATTGTTGAATAAAATCGTTATGTTTGGTTTTTTTACGCACAAAAAGTATTCTCGTAGTTTCGAAAAATTACGGTTAAACCACTGATGTCACATGGATTATTTTAACGATGTCCTTACTACGTTTCTGGACCTTGATCGTGTTACGATCCTTGCTGTCTATGGGAGGGTCATCAAAAATATCTTAATTTGTGCTCCGAAGATGAACGAAGGTCTTACAGGTTTGGAACGACATGAGGGTGAGTAATTAATGACAGAATTTTCATTTTTGGGGAACTATCCCTTTAATTTTTTCCATGGAACAACTGGTTGTGTGCCAAATTACACATCACTATATACAGTATTTGTGTTTACTAAAAACAGCAGGTAAAAACAGCAGCATGCTGAAAGATTGACCTCGTTTTAAAATCCATTATGTTTTAGAAGATTGCTTTTAAAGTTTTACAAGAAGACAAACCATTGATGCACCACTGCGGGGTCCCAAAACTACCTACCATCACAAGTTAGTTTGTTTCTCTATGAATATTTCATTCAATATACTGTAAGAAAGCAAAATGGACAAAGGAAAGATTTGTATAAGTGAAAGGGCTTTGTGTCCCCTTTGTTTTGGTCTTTCCTGATTAATTATTTAGACACATTGTAACATTGCTCAATGGGGATGTGCACTTTCTCATCGGAAAACAATGGTCCCCAATGAGCATCCGTGCGAAGGGAACAAAGCTTTTAAAAATTCGTCTATACACGCCGCATGTCCACGTTGCGGCCCATGGAGTGAGATAAAATAGCTAAAGTGCTTTTTGGTATTGAAGGTTTCTGCGACTTCCTCCAAAGCTTTTTAAGTTTTCTCCAAGCTTCAGGGGTCAAGAAAAGAGCTGCAGAGAGATCAGAAATGGACAGACTTATGAAAAAGTACATTTGTCCGAAGCTGTGTTGTTCGCATGCACAAAAGTTCACTGAAACCTATCTTGAGGTAAACCAACCAAACAAGAGTTCAGAGCCCCACAGTGAGCAAAATGTACTGATATGAGGAATGTAGACTTCTGTACAGTAAATTACAAGTGCATTTCTTCATTAGAAGAAGAAGAAGAAGTTTTTAACCAAAGTAACCGAGAAATGAGGAAATACAACATAAGAGGTTCACCGTAAGGAGGCATTTGCATTAGAAATGCTGTATAGCTCCTGGAGTGATCAGAGAAGCACAGACTAGAGCCAAGATGATAGAACAGATTAAGGTCAACGTGAAATCAAAATTGACCCTCTTATCGTTCTAAATGCTTGCATAATTCATCAGTGTTTTTCAAAGAAAATAAAATGTTTATCTTTGAAAACCTCTAGCAAAGTATTTTTTTCTTTCAAAATCGCACTTGTAAATGAATCATATTATGAAAGCAAAATAGGTTTTGAACAGCATTTCATGTTGATTTTAGATCAATTTGTCCTTGGATGTTCCTGTATTTATGAATGTTTGTTTTTTAACATACTCAGCTTTTCCTCTGGGATATTTATCTCATTACACATTTGGATCTCGGGCCCAGCAAAGCTGCAATTTCAGCTGAATCGACCCACAGCTCTTGCTTTCTTTTTCCAAATACTTATTAATGTTTCATCTGTGAGTTAACATTTGAATATACTGACCCCTGATTACAGTGACTGTCCTATTCAATTCACTAACAGTTAATAAGAGGTAAAATTCAGGAGATACACAGTTATTTAACTGACTCTCACATCCACCTACAGGAATAGAACAGAGAGTCATGTTAGTTGTAAAAATAGGACAAATTTGATGTTCTGCTTCATCTCTCCGCACAGCCAAGGGTCTGTCGAGCCGGTCTCTAACTACTTTCTACAATTAATAATTTGTTCATCAGTCTGTTTGTTTTGTAATCTCGTAGTCTTGTAAAGATTAATACAATACGAAACTTGGTGCACAGCAAACAATGAACTTGAAATGAACTCTGATGTGGTTTGGCTGATATTATATGAATGCTAAACTGATCAAACAAATCTAAACGAACGCAAAACAGGTGATGTCACAAGATGCGACCCTAAAATGAATAGAATGCTCAAGCATACCTCATTATGGGAGCTACAGTATGTTAATCATCACAGTTCGGTACAGGCAACAGAACCACCGTCTCATTGCAGCAGATCTTCATTTGTGTGTGCAATGAATTCCTGCCACTGTTGTGACTCCTTTAAGCTCTGCAGGAGTTATCAGCAGGTAAAAATACCACCGTATGTGTACAAAAACAACGAGTGCATTTAGTCCAGAATTGTTTTTGCTGCCTGCTTTGCAAAACATACGTCATAAAAGTCCAATCAGGTTTGTGACTGTATCCTTATGCCTTTGGTTTTGTGTGTTAAAAATGAGAGAGTGAATGCGAGGACTAAATTATTTTCTTTTTTTGGTCCGGACCAAAAGAACCAAGAGAAACGAACTACAAGTGTAAACACACCTTAAGACAAAGGGCCACATTTACTAAACAGGGCAAATTATTGTGAGACCGCAATTCCAAAAAAGTACTGATGGGAGTGTAAAGTTCTGCGGTTGATTTACTGACAATGGGCAAATTAAATAAAAGTCCATCTACCAGGAGCAGCACTAATTAACGTAAGGTTGCAAACAAGCAGATACGATTATAATCAGGTGTGGGTAATCCACCAACAACACAGGCAAAAAAATGTGACCCTGGACCTCAAAACCAGTCATATGTAGCACGGGTATATTTGTAGCAATAGCCATTGTATGGGTCAAAATGATCGATTTTTCTTTTATGCCAAAAATCATTAGGATATTAAGTAAACATCATGTTCCATGGAGATATTTTGTAAATTTCCTACCATAAATATATAAAAACGTAATTTTTGATTAGTAATATGCATTGCTAAGAACTTCATTTGGACAACTTTAAGGTGATTTTCTCAACATTTAGATTTTTTTTTTTTGCACCCTCAGATTCCAGATTTTCAAATAGTTGTATCTCAGCCAAATATTGTCCTATCCTAACAAACCATACATTAGTGGAAAGCTTATTCAAGTTTCAAATTGACCCTTATGACTGGTTTTGTGGTCCAGGGTTACAAATGTGTTAAAACATGCTTTTATGGGGTGTTAAATAATGGCGCAAATACCTATAAATTAACTAGTGCAAGCCTTAGTAAATCACAGAGCATGATTCATTTAGATACTCTTCCCCCATAAATGTTACGTCTGAAAGGGAAAGGGCAATAAGGTCATTATATATATGCATTGCTAAGAACTTCATTTGGACAACTTTAAGGTGATTTTCTCAACATTTAGATTTTTTTTTTTTGCACCCTCAGATTCCAGATTTTCAAATAGTTGTATCTCAGCCAAATATTGTCCTATCCTAACAAACCATACATTAGTGGAAAGCTTATTCAAGTTTCAAATTGACCCTTATGACTGGTTTTGTGGTCCAGGGTTACAAATGTGTTAAAACATGCTTTTATGGGGTGTTAAATAATGGCGCAAATACCTATAAATTAACTAGTGCAAGCCTTAGTAAATCACAGAGCATGATTCATTTAGATACTCTTCCCCCATAAATGTTGCATCTGAAAGGGAAAGGGCAATAAGGTCAGCTGCAAAAATAAATGTGTCCATGCCTTTTCAGCTCTAATTTTTCACTGCGTAAATCCTGACAGTAGTTTTTTAAAGCCAAAAGAGGGTTTGTGTTGGCGCAAGCTGTTGGTAAATTTGGCCCTAAATTTGTTCTCTGTTCTTCAGGTATTCCATCGACTGGAAGAGTGACCTGGACAGCTTCTTCGACATCGATCCTGTCAGAGGAACCATCTCCACCAATGAGCTTCTGGACAGGGAGAGTATAGCCCAGCACAACATTTCAGTTGTGGCCACTAAAGTTAGTAAGTATATGACTGTGAACCTCAGAAGTGATTCATAAAAGTTCAGTTGTCTTAAATGCTGGGATTTTTTGCGGACTGATTTACGGTGACCCATCGCAGTGCAGTCAGCAGCAAATTCCATTAAAGTCTGCATTTTACGAGCATTCATAAAGTATGACGACTCTCCTGGAATATGTATCATTATTACAGTGTCTTTCCTTTCTCCTTGACTTAGTGAATTTAACAATTGATCTATTTCAATGTTCTTAAACTGCCGGTGAATTAATTGTTCCTTGCCATCAAGGTGGTCATTTATAGAAGACTCAATGATAAGACAACAATGATAAACTAAATCTTTGTTTTAAAGTCAGTTGCAAATATTAGAGTAATCCATAATTACTCTTTCATATTATTTATTACATTATAACATTCTTCGCCCCTTCAGTGACTTTTATTTTTGATTAACATAAAAAATCCCTTTTAGTCACCTCAATTGCAGCCAATCAATTGCCAAGTTTCTGGTCTACATTTTTACTTAGTTTGTTTATTTATTTATTTTCAAGTTAAATATCCAATTTTTATTGAACATAAGAAACTTTCAAAATGTTCGCCACGTAAGAAAAGACATTCATTCTTTGGTAAAACATAATAATGACTTAAAAATCATAATTATGAGATAAAAGTATTATGACATACTAAGTGAAAATTATGACAACATCATTCATTTACATGGCATAATTCACTTTATATGTCACAATTATGACTTAATTTCAATAATTAAACAATCCCAATTTTTCATCAATTTCACCTTTATCTCATAATTACAACTTAATATGTCATAATTCAGATTTTTTAATATCATAGTTATGACTGAGTATGTCACAATTTTTTGTCATAATTTCCACTTTTATTTCATAAGTATGACATTGATCTCATAATTTTCACTGTTATGTCATAATTCTAATTCTTATTTCATAATTATTATTTAACAAAGTGCAATTTTGTTCCCTCTGAAATGGGCTTCCATATGTTTGATTTTGAAAACCGTAAGATTATGGGGGGGAAAAAAGGGTTTACAAACTGCATTTCTTATTGACTATTTTAGGAAGTAATTTGAAAGGCGATCAAGCACCAGCATCAAAGATGTCATTGCTGTAATTGTGTTTGTGTCGGAAAAGATCTGTGGATTGAATCACGACGTAAATAAGCAAATCCATCGTCATCAAGTCGTCAAATCCTCCAAGAAGTCCCCAACGCCATTATCTTGGTGGATATGTGGTGCTCAATCAAAATTACAAACGCGGTGACTCACATTCATTAAGACGGAATGGGGATGAGAGGTCATTAAAAGTTGAGCCTTCATCACCTTGGTAACGGTTATTACTCACTGTCTCTCAAGGTTGCACTGGTGATATGCTAATTGTGATTTCTAAAGCTAATTTGGGAGAGACTAAAGCTAAGTCGGGGCTGTTAAACTTCCCTCCTGTCCTGCAATGGGAATTGTCCACCCTGTGTTAAGCTCCATTTTTATTCACTATCAGTGTCTTTTAGACAATTTTACATTCTGTTCTGTTGGCCCAGATGGATTCAGAGAAATCACAGAGCACATAGTCAGACATTCATAACTCATGGCTAAACTGAATATTATAAATATAGTCAATGTTATTCAAAAGTATATATTAATTCTTCATAAACTAGGCAATCTCTGCTATTTTTGACTATATATATTTCTGTCATGACAACTCTCGGAACTCTCTAATGTACATGACAATGTTAATGTATTTGGTCTTGGCGGAATAGATCTGCTACGCTGCTGCTGCTGCTTTTGCGACAAAGCAAGTACCGAGACTTGCTACTGTCAATACATCCAGAACATGCTGCTGTGAGCATGTAAGAAATATTGCTGCTGCAAATATAACATACATGAAATAACCCCCATATAGCATACATGAATCAACTCATAGCAGATCTATACAGGTGGAGCTTGAGAAGGTGGAGGGTTTCTGAAGAAAGCTGCAACTGCTACGGCAAGCACTAGTCATATATTTGAATGTTGAGCAGCGAGCTCATTGGCTACCGATACAGGAGAGAACCAATCAGCTGTGCCATGTGATGATGATGTCATTATATTAGATCTATCGGACTGCGCCATCTAGAGTTTCATGCCTGCTGTGTGTACATTAATGAGGAAAAAAAAATTAACTTAAATGATTTTAGCAAATGGCTGCAATATAACAAAGAGTGAAAAATTTAAGAGGGTCTGAATACTTTCCGTACCCACTGTATATATATACACAAATATATGTGTCACATACATTTGCAACATCATATCTCACAACTGTGACTGAATCTTTCATATTTAAAATTTTTCAGGCATCCTAGTCAAATAGGCGATTTTCATTTTGCATGTCCCTAAAAGTTAGTTAGTCAAAACTTTTTTTGCCCACTTTGACCATTTGAAGCTGATAACTATGGGCACTAAGTATTAAACAAGCCATTTTTTGCTTTCCTACACCTTATAAATGCTCATATCACCAGCGTGTGATGTGTAATACCCTTACTTGCATTATGCAGTGCCTTGTAAAACATGCTTGACAGCTTTTCTATCTCTCAGAACCAGTGATTATGAGGTGCGGAGAACACCTGTTCAACACCATCACAAGCTAGTCTAGCATAAATCACTTTCATATTTAAAATTTTTCAGGCATCCTAGTCAAATAGGCGATTTTCATTTTGCATGTCCCTAAAAGTTAGTTAGTCAAAACTTTTTTTGCCCACTTTGACCATTTGAAGCTGATAACTATGGGCACTAAGTATTAAACAAGCCATTTTTGCTTTCCTACAACTTATAAATGCTCATATCACCAGCGTGTGATGTGTAATACCCTTACTTGCATTATGCAGTGCCTTGTAAAACATGCTTGACAGCTTTTCTATCTCTCAGAACCAGTGATTATGAGGTGCGGAGAACACCTGTTCAACACCATCACAAGCTAGTCTAGCATAAATCACAGCTTCTTGTTTTTTTCCCACACCTCTCCTGCACTTTTTAGGGGCATTAATGTCACACCAGGTGGAATGCCAGATGTTCTGGAGCCTCAGAAGAAATTGCTGAGGGAAACATGAGTCAGCAAACAGTTTCAAACACTCCATGCTTGTTGCACATCATGGAAACTTCTACTTTTAGTTTCCATTAGGACAGCAAACATATTTGATTTACATAATCCCTTCTGTGACGCTCATTACAACAGTCAGCTTGCTGAAGGAAAAACTATTTTACACAACAGCTAGAACCAATATGTTTTACAAAATGTGTTAAGCAGACAATTATGTGTTTACATCTTGTACAGCACCAGTTGTAAATAGGGCCACAATCAAAACTCGTGTGATTGTGCTGTCCACATATAGCCTATAGGCTGTTGTAGGCTACACAAACTGTCTGTCAAACCTACAAAGGAAGCAGAACTGTTTTATCTTAAAAAGACGCGCATTTTAAATATGTGATTAGAGCATTTTCATTCGTTTGAAGCCAGGCCAACAATAACCATCGAAGCACGAACAAAAACATCACAAACACACATTTACTGTTATGCTGTCAAAAGATCTAGCGTACAGCAAAATGGACGATTTCTCCTTTATACAACAGCGCCATCTAGTGGCAAAGTCCGTCATTTAAGTCGTTAAGTTGAAGCCATAGTTGACTTGTAAACACTGTTGTGGTTTTAATAAAAACTCACTAGATTCTAATTGTTTTGTTTTTTTCTAAAAATGTATTGTAAAATATTAGAAAACCTAAATAAACCCTGATGCATAAATATAATCATTGCTAGTTTTTTTGATGTATTTTGCAGGTGTTTACCCACTAAGTTTGTCCACTTCAAAAAAACAGATTTGTACATTTTCCAGAGAAACTTCATCACTTTCATGAGAATGTTGAAATTTCAATGTAAACTTAAAGCTTTAATCTAAACGTATTTATTTATTTATTTATTATTATTATTATTATTATTTAGTTTAAATAATATTTAAAATATGCCAGTCATATCAAATTATGGTTGCAGGTCAAAGGTAGTTTGGGTCACACCCTGAATTGTTAAAAAAAAAATATTATTATTAAAATTATTTTCTTGACATATTGAAATGCATCAAATGTATGCAATTAGAAAATGATAAATGTTGCCATATATTCAGTACTTTGGTTATCTGAACATATCGAATATGTTGGTTCAAATTTTGGACTTGGTTTGAAAATCGAAGTGAATTGCATTTAAAACTTTTAGTTAGCCAGAACTTCTTATAAAACTCTACAGAAAAATAGTGGCTACAGAAAAAGGAATTCGCTGCAGGACATCTGGGGCAGAAGCACAGGACCTGGAGAATAATGATGTGTCAGATCTCAGATAAAATTGTAGCAACAGTAATTTTTTCTTTTTTTTTTTTTACTGAACATCAGATGCCCTGGAGCCCCTGAAGCTAAAGTAACAAACAGCTGCACATACACACACACGCACACACACACACACACACACACACACACTTTCTCTCCAGGAAGATTGCTCATCTTCATCAGGGTCGCCCAGAGGTCTTGGCATTATACGGGACCCCTGGGAGGGATGAGTTCAGATCCCTCGTTCTAAGCCTTCTCACCTTCTCCTCAGACATGCTGAGCCCATCTCATGGATCTGATCTATAAAAGTTTATTCCACACTGATGTTCTCCTCCACACTGCACGCTCAAGCAGAATTCAAACAATATCAGCGAGACGTGTTCAAACATCAACAGCTGTGCCAGAGAGGACACCGCTGGCCTTGTGTGTCAGCTAGAAACTTCTTATTTTTAGAGATTTTTACCTTATAATCTTACCCACTAAACCTTTTTGTAGTTTTAAGAATAGAATAGAATAGAATAGAATAGCTAGATTGGCAGCCTATGAATAATACTTAAATCCCCTTTAAAGTTTTCAGTGTAAAACCACATGATGGCAGTATAGTATATTAGTGGTTTAGAACATAACGGTCAGTTCAGTGTACTACTTTCTTTTTTGACTGTAAATTATGTCCTCAGTCCTGTATTAATAATGTATTTTAGTTCCTCAGCAGAAGGCTGATGTCATATGATTTTAGTAAATAATTGTGGAGTTATTAATGGGACAGGGTCAATTCGATCCCAATTCTATAAGCAGTTCTCAAACTGAACCATGTAAAAAATGTATATGGATGATTCTGTTCTAATCACTTGATTTGGATATTTGGCTATTTGGAATGTTTTCAAATGGACATTTCTTTGAACTGCACTAACCATTCAAAAGTTTGGAGTCAATAAAATGTTTTAATGTTTTTGAAAGGAGTCTCTTATGCTCAGCAAGGCTACATTTATTTGATCAAAAATACAATAAAAAGTATAATATTGTGAAAAATTGTTACAATTTAATATAATTGTTTTCTATTTGAATATATTTTATAATGTATTTTATTTCTGTGATCAAAGCTGAATTTTCAGCATCATTACTCCAGTCTTCAGTGTCACATGATCCTTCAGAAATCATTCTAATATGCTGATTTGCTGCTAAAAAAAACAAAAAAAAAAACTTTATTATTATTATCAATTATAGAATCTCTGATTAATACAAAGTTTAAAAAGAACAGCATTTATTTGAAATATAAACATAAATGTCTTTACTGTCACTTTTTATTAATTTATTGCATCCTTGCTTGTGGGGGAAAAAAAACTTTGACCCCCAAACTAAACTTTTAGAATTTAAAACATATTATGTCATTTTGGTATATGGTGATGTCAGTATTGTGATGCTTATTGTGGATATTGTGTGTGATGATAAATGCAAAACCATTAAATGTCTGATGTTATAGTGCAAGATTAATAAAAAAAACATAATATTTTCCATTTTTAAACAGAAATTCAAAATAATAGGCATTATTGCTTTCTCTATCCTTTAACACATATATCCTTTAAAAATAGAATAATTGGTTAAAAAAATGGAGAAAAGTTTCCATAACTGAAGAACGAGTGCAAACTTGCGCATTGTAATGTGTGCTTTGTGTTGCTCATGACATATAATATCTTATGTTTGTGTGGTTTGTGTAGATAACCCAGTGCTGACCAGCAGAGTGGCCGTCACAGTTCATGTGCTGGACATTAATGAGTTTCCACCAGAGCTGGCCATGCCTTACGAGACCTTCGTGTGTGAGAGCGCCAAAGTCGGGCAGGTGAGTGAATATAAATGGTTGTGTGTGCATGTGTGTATGTTTGCATGTCCAAAACCAATTCTGGTCTAATGAGCCATTTAAGATGATGTATGACAGACTCCAGAGTCTGACACTCTCATTAAATCCTGAAAGTGCACTATATTCCTGCTTTAGCCAGGTACAGTGTGTGTGTGTGTGTGTGTGTGTGTGTGAGGGAGCAATTCCTAATCTACTGTATCTTGCCCACTTACACTGAACCCCTGAACCATAGAGTAAACAGGAAAACCTTTCTGAAAACATGCTGTGAGATATTTTATACAATATTTTCTCCTATTGCATTTCTTTGTATAGCATGCGAAAACAAAAGTGAGTACTTTTTGCGCATTTAAAGCTCACCACCACAATGAATGAGGTTAGTGGTTGCCAGGATGTTGCTATGTGGTTGCTAATGTGTTTGAAGTGGTATCTAGGGCGTTGCTGGTTGCAATTTTTATTTTATTTTATTTTATTTTCACAGTCCTACTACACTAGATGCCAGGAAGGAATAAAAACACTTATGCAGTTGCTAAGGTGTTTGGAGTGGTATCTAAGGTGTTGCTAGGTGGTTGCTATGGTGTTTTTATTATTTTACATTTTATTTTAATTTACTATTTTTACAGTCCTGCTTCACTAGTTACCAAGAAGGGGATTTTTTTTATATAATTTTTATTATATTTTTTCACTGTCCTGTTTCACTAGGTACTTGGAAGGAAAACATACTTATATATGAGATTTATATTTATTTATTTTTATTTAAGTTCTATTATAAGTCTTTTTCTTAGTTTAGAGCCTTTTTTCTTAGTTTGAATGGGTATGACGCTTCTGGCCAGAACTGTGTGGTTTGATTGATACATTGGACAGGAAGAGCCTGGTGGGTAAGTGATACATTAGTGCTGTGCTAATGGTCCTACCCAGCATGCACCTGTGGCGCTGGTGACAGCCCTACAACAGGTGATGCCAGCAGGAGGGTGGGTGGTACGGACGTCTGTTAGCTACGGAAGATTGATCTGCTTGTACTGTTAGTGCACAGTGTATCATGATCGCTGGATTGAAAGCAGACTAATTGGTTTTAGATGCAGAATCGAGGAGAACAACCACAGGAGCACTTGATTAAACATTACTGAGCACATGCTGCCGGCTGCCACTTATCTTCATGCACTTGTGACTAGTTTCTAACTCATGCTTCATTTAATGTTGTGAGTGCAATTGTTTCATATACATAAAGCACTGTAAAGTGGATTATTTTTCTTCTAAGGAATATATTATATGGTTGTATATCTCCATTAAGAGGGTGGGTGGTACGGACGTCTGTTAGCTACGGAAGATTGATCTGCTTGTACTGTTAGTGCACAGTGTATCATGATCGCTGGATTGAAAGCAGACTAATTGGTTTTAGATGCACAATCGAGGAGAACAACCACAGGAGCACTTGATTAAACATTACTGAGCACATGCTGCCGGCTGCCACATATCTTCATGCACTTGTGACTAGTTTCTAACTCATGCTTCATTTAATGTTGTGAGTGCAGTTGTTTCATATACATAAAGCACTGTAAAGTGGATTGTTTTTCTTCTAAGGAATATATTATATGGTTGTATATCTCCATTAATTAAGAGCAAACACTGACTCTGACTATGAGTTTTATATACTAATGTTTATTTCGTTTGTCCCTAAAGAACTGAAGATGTGAATAGTTTCAATTAACAATGTATACTTTTTTAGTATAAGAGATTATATGCCAGTGTGCACTAATAACCTTCATGAATCATTAAGAAATTCAGTAATCCTTAATGTTTACCATAAAATATTTAAACAAGCGATTAACCATTAAAAGACTATATTTATGCAGTTTTACATTTTTAACCACATTCTGGGTGTCCCACAGTGATCAAATATATGTCTATAATATAATATAATATAGTTTATGTTAAATTTCTTAAAACCCTGATCAATAATATTTCGATTAACTTTGTGTCATCTAGGTGATTCAGGTCATCAGTGCAAGAGACCAGGATCTTCCTCAAGCCGGACAAAGATTTTCCTTCAAATCCCCTCAAGAGGGAGTGAAGACCAAAAACTTCACCATCAGAGACTTTGGAAGTGAGTCTGTCTTGTTATATCTTAGTCAAGTGATTTATTTGGAGAGAGAGAGAGAGCGAGAGAATGATATATAGTCTATAATAATAATAATAATAATAATGATAATAATAATAAT